AATAAATAAATAAATAAACAAATTAATTAATTAATTAATTAATTAATTAAATTTTAAAAATAAGTAGAAATTCCAAATAAACTGACCAGCCGGAAAGATCTTGGTCACCGTTCTTTAGGACGTCATCAATTGGCGAGCTTCTCAGAAATAAAAAAAAATATTTACCACGAGGAGCAAGTGTCAACTATACTTTACTTTTAGTTTTTCTTTAACTTGTTCATCCTCTGTTGCCGTTATGCGTCGAGGGGGGATGCAGTTTTCTATGGTAGGCCAGCTCCGCAGCTCTTTCAGTTGTGATGTTATTTAGTGTCAACTATAATATGTGAGGCAGTGTGGTGGAATCAGGCTCTCGTCATTTTTGGGCATGTAGAGTTATCGGTATCATCTTAAAACTTGTTCACCTGCTTTTATTTGGATAAAAAATGTCCATGTATCTTGAATACAAGCTGAGATATTTTCGAAAGAAGGAGGTGGGGATCACCTGTTTTCAGAGGTAAAATTTGTGAGAAAATGGCCACCAAAAATTAGTTATTTCCTTAGCTAACGAGTCCCTGGTAACTGGAAATTAAAATTTTTTGTGACTTTAATCAACGTTTTAAAGAAAAATCCACATAGAAATGAGTGCTGTAATGGTCATAAAAGGTGTTGAGCCCAAAAACAAAAATTTGAGAAAAATTCACAAACCTGCGGAAAAATGCAAGTTTCTTCACTTTGATTATTTTGACGCTGCCTCTCATATAAAAAAACTGAAACAATCCACAAGTCAACTCGAATTTGGACCTGGAAAAAGTGCTTTTGACCGTGACCATGCCCACCAGCCAAACCGTGCCAGAAGTTGGGAGATAATCCACTCGTTTGGATGGAAAACCTTGCCACGCCCAACAGTTCTCCTGATTTGGCAGCATCAGAATGTTACCTTTTCGGCCCTATGAAAGAAGCTTCGTGATGTCAACACTAAGGGAACAATAAGGAAAGCAATGCTGCTGTGAAGAATGGACTAACAGACCAACCTACAGATGTGGTAAGTGTGGCCTTGCTAAAAACTGATGTTCGTCCGTCCTTCTGTGGCGAAGATGACCTTGACTTCGTATCACTGGAAGTGTGGGGTGTGTGCGGTGATAACTGATCAGGCGACATACTAAAAGGTGGCCAGTGGCTATCAAACGTGACTGAGACTGTTGAGAACAGAAATCTGATTCTCAAAGTCTGGTGCTTCCTTTAAGTTATGAACAAAATAGCATTACTTTAATATTAATTCTAACTTCCCTTTGTATCATATCAAAAGACAAACTCACTAGAGACAGCCATTACTTTTGTCTTTGAGTTTGGCACTAGAGGGAGAAGATTGGGGGGGGGGACGATTGAGGAAAGA